AAATAGGGTACCATTAACAAGAACCACATAAACATACAGGTACAGTACAGTACACTGCAAAATAGGTCTCTCCCTCACCATCAATTCTTGAAAAATCATTCACAAATTAAAATCGATCCATTCTTGATAAAACCAAACAATTAATTAATTCAATGAATGGTCTACTTCGGCATTCAATTTCTCTTTAAGCATTTTATCATAGCTATCCGAATCTTCTTGTTTATTATGGCGTAGAGTAGCGGGTTGAACACTGAGTCCATGTACATACAAAGCTGTATCCACTTCCAATCTCTGGGGTCCTCAAATACTACTATAAAATTCTTAAGAACACCAGTTAAACCAAGTGGAGCCCAGCAGATCAAAAAAGTGGATAATAACACACCCATCATTACAGCAGGACGGATATATCTTCTTTTGAAACTGGCATCTTTTGATTGGCTGTTTCCTGCATGTGGACTTGGAACATCTAATCTTGTTCTTGTCCTAGTTTGAGAGTTTTGGGTGCGGTCTCGGTTAGTTTCGCTGAAGTTGGCATAATTCGCGTCTTTACTTGTATTTGCTTCACCATGGCTTAGGCCTAATGGTTGTTCATGAACCGTCGACGTGTTTTTCACATTATGTGTCTGATCGACGCCTATTTTCCGTCTCTGGAGTATACGCTTCCGTATTTTTAAAAATGTACTTGTGTTGAAATAAGCAATAGCAGACATTGGGATAAAAAGTAAAAATACAAGAAGTATTATGGTTAACAATGTGTCGGGGTTGGTATGGAAGTTGCAATACAAATTGTCAATGACACCAAAGCCCACTTTGTAGAAATAAAGTATTTCGTTTGTTACCATTATGACAACTGAACACGTCCAAGTAAAGGCAATCTGGAGGTTAACGCGTAGCCGTGTCTGACTCTTCAGATAATTTGGATACTCCTTGTGGACAAGCAAATAACGATCGAAACTGATAAACGCAATGGTAAAGATGGTAACGATTAGAAGGGTTCCTTCCACTATGGACTTGATCATACAGAAATAAATTCCAAACGGCCAGTAGTCTACAATGTTAATAATAATCATCAGTGGCAAAGGGAATAGTCCAACACCAAGATCAGCTACGGCTAGGCTCATGATATGCCGGTTGCTCTGTGGGTTGTTACGAAGCGATGCGTCCTTTGAGAATACAGCAATTGTTAAAGCATTTCCACCAATGGTTAATACTGACAATATGAATATAAACATATTAGTGAAAATTAATCCAACATTATTATGGTCCGTGTCAGTTACTGACGCGTTGGCCGTTGATGTTGATGTATTGCTGTCAAACATTTTACATATATTTCAGCCAGAACACGCCACAGAATATTGTATGATTTTCTGGTGATCTGAGACGACGATTACAAAACCTGTCTTACTGTGATGACAATGGCTCTATTCTGAAGGAAAACAAACAAGAAGAAAAGTAATGTATCATTGAACATGATTAGTGTAATTGAATATTACTTTGAGCAACTTACGACATACTTTGCATTCTTTTATAAGTGTGTATAAAGCAAAAGATTATAGTGTTTCGTACGTAAGGTTTGCAGTTCCAAATTATTGCATAATAGTTACGATGATTAAATGACGGTGATGATTACGATGGTGGTCATGATGATAGATTAATAAGCAAATTATAACCGCGTTTTCATAGATTTACAAATTCTTTGCAACGTTGCATATTATTCGGCCTACCCCTGGTCGTTGGTCCATTTTCACAGGCTGAGGCTATCGGCACTGCCGCAGTGCGAAAAACCTGCTGTTTTCTATCGGCACTGCCACAATACGAAAAAAGCTGTTATTTTCTATCGGCATTATTGCCGCAGTGCGAAAAAAGCTCCGATTTTCTATCGGCACTGCCGCAGTGCCAAAACACTGCGGTTTTCTATCGGCACTGCCACTCGAAAAGCTGCTGTTTAATTATCAAATGGATGTTTTTATCTATAGATGGTATCAATAATTGGTTAGGTCTAGCCTAGCCTATAATATTGTTAACATTATATTATATATATTTTACAATTAAATTATAATTATTTCTAATTATTAAATATATACATAACCTATATCTAGGCCCATACATAAAACAAAAAATAAAACAACAAAAACTTAAAAATAAAATAGTAGTAATAATAATAATAATAATAATAATATTAATAATAATAATAATAATAACAGTGTTCGAAATGAATAAAAATTGTTTAATTAATGAGATGAATCAGCATATTAAATCAACTTGCGTCTATGCAAAACCTGTTTTTTTTTTAAATAAATGTGTTTTCTATTTTATTCTGCTGTTTTAAAAAATAATCTTATAAATTATAAGTTTATTTTCTATGATAATTTTATCCACATAATTCATGTTTTCAATGTTAATATGGTTGATAAATAATACATAAAATAATAATAATAATAATAATAATAATAATAATGAAGGTGCTCGAATAATGCTGTAATAAAGAATTAATAATACTTCAATAGACCTATTTGCGATAGTGTGATTAATGAGATATTTGTTGATTAATTTATAGAAATATATAATAGGTATAGGCCTATACCATTAATAATGATTCAGCATATTAAATCAACTTACGTCTATAGATGTAAAATCTGTTTTTTTTTTTCAATAAAATGTTACCTATTTTATTCTGTTTAAAAATAATCTTATAAAATACCGTACATTATAAAGTTTCATTGTTAATTATATGAGAATTTAATCCACATATTATGTTTTCAATTATTTAAGCATTTAAACAATTCAGTGGGTCTAACGCTGTATGTAAATGTAAAACAAAACAAAACAAAAAACAAAAAACAAAAGTATCGCCAAAGTGTTTTCATGTATGCAAATGCTACTATCGCGCGATTACCGCGTATTTTTGGTAAGCAGAGCTCAGGATGGTTCACACGAATTGACGAATATTCGTCGAAATGCCGTATAAATAAACTGCAATTATGTAAATAACTTTCACAAGAACTTTACGAATATCTTAATTAATATAATCTTAATTAATATTTTAAATTAGTTAATATATATATTATAATTTAATATTTTTTTTGAAACAGAATAAAATAGGTAAAATTTTATTGAAAAAAAAACACCAAACAAATTTTACATTTACGCCGTATTGTTGATTTAATATGCTGAATCATTATTAATGGAATATAGGCCTACCTATTATATTTCTATAAATTAATCAACAATTATCTCATTAATCACACTATCGTAAATTGGAATATTGAAGCATTATTGAAGTATTATTAATTATTCACTAAAGCATTATTCGAGCACCTTTATTATTATTATTGTTATTATTATTATTTTATATATATTACTTATGAGTGAGTCGAATGGCCGAGCGTTTAGCAGGGGCGCTGCAAGCTATAGCCATAATGTCGGCGCTGGTTCAAACGGCACGCTCGCCTATGGTTCCGGTGGTGGAACAAGTCTTCTCGGATAAGGACTCTAAACCATAGGCCCAGTGTACACAATTAGCTCGTGTGCACTTTAAAGAACCCAGTACATCATTCGAGAAAAGTAGGGGGCTACCCCGGTGTAGGTTACTGGTCCATCTCTTCTTTGCCATTAACATTATCATTGTTTCTCTGGTAGGCATCTTGTACAGGGACATGTTTTTGCCTAACCAGTCTCATTACGTTTTTGAGTGAAATAAAAGTATGAATTATGAGTTATACCAATGTCATCTATCGATAAAAACATCGATTCGATTAATTAACAGCAGCTTTTCGCACTGTGGCAGTGCCGATAGAAAACAGCAACTTTTTGGCACTGCGGCAGTGCCGATAGAAAACGGCAGCTTTTTGGCACTACGGCAGTGCCGATAGAAAACAGCAGCTTTTTTTGGCACTGCGGCAGTGCCGATAGCCACTACCCCATTTTCACAGGCTGGCACAAAGTCCAACCTTCTCCATCTCCTTGTGAAGTATTCCACCTTCCTAGTTGTGCAATATATAATTTAATACACACAAACTAACACATTCAATGCCATAACAAACAATACCCATTTGAAGAGAGATAAACGTAGGTAAAGTGCCCAGGACACAAGCAAAATACACACCGAGTGTTTGAACCCCTAATCACAAGGTTGAGAGCCAAAAACGCAAGAAAAATAACTATTTATGGAACCCAAAACAAAAATCATGTTTATCAATTCTCATTTTCATCCACGTGCCACAAAGCCCTGGAACGGAATCCAGCAATTAACATCATTTGGTACCACATCCTTTGAAGCATTTTGGTGCTAGATGGGACGAGGCTTCTATGCTGCATGATTGTATATCTAAATGCGCATCACAAGTACTGTATATAAATTTACACAATCAGCACAGTAGATAATATTGTTCTGCCACTAGGCTGAAATACAAATTGTAAAAGCACTATAGATGCAATCTATAAATAAAAAGAAATAAAGATCTAATAACAATCTTAAAAATAAGTTTTACTATGCGGGCAAAAACTAATACCTAACAAACTTAATAAAAAAAAATGCAAAATTGTGTGTGTAGCATTAGAACACTATTTTAAATATAAAATAATGATAAAATGTAATATTTTGTACTCACAACATGGAATTGTGCTCACCTTTTGGAGCCTGCATTCCGTCATTCACTGGACATTTTGCAACCCCATGATGTCAATAAATATATAATTTTTTTATATTAGTTAAATAATGTGATGACACTAAACAAATTAATATTCAGACTAATAATAAAATATTGCATTGGTGTTGTATGAACGGTAAAGACTAAATCGTGCAGAGAAAGTGCGAAAATGGTATTATTTTCCAAATAATATGAAGTACCCTGTGCATTCAAAAAAAAATTGGACCAACTGTATGTAGGCCTATAATTCAAACCTTCAATATTACAAACGGAGACACAGTCGGTGTCACTCCAGACGTCTTGGTTCTACCATTGGTTAAATGCCAATCAATCTTTAGCGAATTAAACAATAATCTATATTCAATTTCTTTTGAAGCATTTTATCATAGCTATCCGAATCTTCTTGTTTGTAATGGCGTAGAGTATTGGGTTAAACAATGAGTCCATGTACATGCAAATATGGATCCACTTCCAAAGTCTGGGATCTTCAAAAACCGTTTTAAAATTCTTCATAAAACCGGTTACACCGAGAGGTACCCAACAGATCAAAAAAGTCGATAACAACACACCCATCATCATAGCAGGGCGGACATATCTTCGCTTAAAACTGGCATCTTTTGTTTGGCTCTTTCCTGAACGTGAACCTATAACACTAATACTCGTTCTTGCCCAAGGATATTTTGTTAAGTTTCCCTTTCTAACATTTTTAGATTCTTGGTGAATTTGACAGGTTAATTTGCACCTTTTGTTTTCATTTAGGTCTTGATTGTGAGCATTTCCTGACGTATTTTGAGATCTTTGAGGGTGATCTCGGTTAGTTTTGCCAAAGTTGTGGCAATTTGCATTTTCATGATAGGTTACCAGATCTATGTTTCTTTCTAGGTTAGGCCTACCTGTTAGAATTTCATTTCTTGTTTCATTTTCGTTTATGCCTAACGGTCGTTCAAGAACAACGGACGTGCTTCTGACGGTAAGTGTCTGCTCGACACCTATTCTCCGTCTCCGGAGTATACGCTTCCGAATATTTAAAAATGTTTTAATGTTGAAATACATAATAGCTAACATTGGGATAAAAAGTAAAATTATAAGAAGGAATATGTTTGTGTCAGGGTTGGTGTGGAAGTTGCAAAATAAGTTGTACATAGACTCAAAACCAATTTGGTAGAAATAAAGGATTTCATTTGTCACCATTAAGACTACTGAGAACGTCCAGGTAAAAGCAATCTGAAGATTTACCCGTAGTTTTGTTTGGATTTTAAGATAGTTTGGATACTCCTTGTGGACTAGCAGGTAACGATCCAAACTAATGAACGCGATTGTGAATATTGTAACAATTAAGAATGTTCCCTCTACTATGGACTTGAGCATGCAGAGAGGAATTCCAAACGGCCAAATGTCTGCGATGTTGATGACAACCAGTAGTGGCAGAGGAATTAGTCCAACGGCAAGATCAGCAACGGCTAAACTCATGATATGCCGGTTGCTCTGTGGGTTGTTTCGAAGTGACGAGTCTCGTGAAAATACCGTAATTGTTAAAGCATTTCCGCCTATGGTTAGTACTGACAGTATACAGACAAACATGTTGGTGAAAATCAATCCAACACCAGTAGGAGCGGCGCCATATAATAATGTTTTGGACGTGTGTGTTGAAGAGTTCAACATCATTTTATTTCATCTAGAACTAACCACGAAATATCTTGTATTTATTCTGATGATCTATGGTGTGAACTCAATACTCAAAACTATTCTGGATAAAGAAAAACAAAAAATAAAAATTAATGTTTACATTCACCATGTAAATCTACGTTTATGTGGCGGGTTGAGAGAGCTTTCATGCCAAGATCTGTGATCATCTTTGGGAAACTAATTCTTGTTTTAATAATCTCTAGAGAAAAAAAATATTGCAGAAAGTCTCTAAATAATTTGCAATTGTTCAATGTTTTTTTGGTATTCTATAAATTGACTTGGATCTTAGTTTCCTTTGACTTAGTTGGATATAAATTTCTTTCATGCTAAAAGTGGGCTTTGTTAACAATTGTAAAGTGAGTGAAGCATTATAATGTGTTGCATATTATATACATTTCTCTATTTTTTTTGTCGAAGATATAATTGGGCAATAATTATAACATAATAAGTCGAAAGCTATGGGAGTCCATTACGATGATTCTTTTATGCCTGTTATATTTTAAAGTAACTACATTCTAATAGTTGGTTTGCCAGATAATAAGTGTTTTCGCCGCACGACGTTAACCTTAACTTTAACGTTAGTACCCAACATGCAACGCGATAGCTCCGCCCCTTTTGTAAACAAATCGAAATACGCATGCGCAAATCCGTAACTAACGTACGTCGAGCACGTATCCTGAGATTAACGTACTCTGCAACGCAAGATGAATAAATTATGACGTCATCCGTTAACGTTAACGTCGTGAGGCAAAAACTACCTATTAGTCCTAAGTTGTTACATAACAAAGATAGCTGCAACAAAGGCAAGACTTGTTACTATGTGAATATTTGAATTGACATCAGTTAATGATTTTCTTCCGTCATTTAGACTAACCTGACGTTGGTTCTGCGTAGTGTGCAATGATCCATTGGACAATTTTTTCTTTCATCTTATATCTACTTAGTCGATTAGGAAGTGCAGACATGAGATACACAATCAAAGTCGTTGCTGAGAATTAGGATGAAGAGATCAGTTTTTTTTGTTTTTTTTTGTTTTTTTTTTTTTTATAATTTGATAAAAAGTAGATCATAAGAATAATGCATTACATAAGGTTTTACATTAGCGATCTGGTCCACAGCAATGTTTGGGAGTTGATAATTTTTTTAAATGATGATCTAGTATAAGGTTAGATATTCAATTGTAGGTAGGTGGTGCTAGTTAGTGAAATAGGTTTCAGTGCTTACATGGTCATTCATGCTTTATGACTTCCCATAACTCCAAAGTAAATGCAAAATATACGCCCATATGCAATTCAGCATAATGATGCTGCGAGTTATGGGTTTACCTTTACAACTTGTGTTCGAATATTTATGATGGAACTTTCCGCAAAGCCCCGCCTTTGGATATTGTATCTCGATACTTTGTTACACTCTCGAATGTAATATT